TTGTGAAGAATGATGAAATCTCTCTCAGTCACACGTGTCACCATTTCATCCCTCGCAAAATCATTCACATCTAGTAAAAAGTTTAATTAAAGCAATAGCTATAATATGGTCAGTGATGAAAAATGTTAATGCATCTGAAAATTAATCTTAGACACTGTCATGCAAAGTTGCAGCCTATTTTTTACATTAATTTTTTTATTTTATTTTATTTGTGTGTGTGTGTGTGTGTGTGTGTGTGTGATCATCTAGCCTATTCATTATTCAAAAGGACAAATCTCAGTTACTATTTTGGTCACCAAGAGTTTTTCAAACGTTTTTCTGTCTATATAGGCATATATAGTTTTTGTCAAGTGAAACGGTAAAATGCTCATAAGTGACTCTAAAGGCAGCTCTGGAGATTAAGTTTACACAGCGGGCGTTAAGTGTTCGAGTTTGCAGATGAAACCGCGCGTGTCTGCGTCATTGATTAACACAGAAACGTATTTAAATAGTATTTTGCGGTTTAATATTCACAGACACGAGTACATATCGCGATTTGATTAAGCGTACTGATCTACTTTGATTTACTTATCCAAAACTTGCCTAATTTCGTGACATTCCGCGTTATAGGCTACTGTAAATTCCAGTTCGCATGGATTCCGCGATTCCGTCCGCGTTTAGCGCATCGCTGAAATTACGACGCCCTAAATTTATTTCGCGGATCCCCTGACTATGGGTCACGGACCCCACTTTGAGAATCCCTGGATTACAGTACTAGAAAATATAGAGTAGAGTTTTAAAAAAATGCATCACTCACCATCCTTACACAGATTAAAACAGAACAAAGCAAGAAAAAAAATCAAATTCTTCAGCTTGAATAGATGAAGAGTTTCCATCGTGCTTCCATCGGCTGTTCGGCTGTTTCTCATTGAAAAGATCATACCTGTAAACTAACTGGAGAAAGCTGTAGGCCACTGCATTTGTAAGTGTCATAACTTAAAGTCATCTTCTACTACAAGACAATCCCAAATGAAAACGAAAAATGCACCTGCGTAACACGTGAGTTGTGACGTTTACATATGTGTCAGTGCTTCTAAAGCGAACACCATACACTCTTAGATAAGAGGTTTAGTGGAGAACCTACTATTCCGACTCAATTTTAAAGAACATTTTATGCCATAATGTTAAAAAAATATAAGGAGAAATGTCTTAAATTATTACAAAATTATGTCATGTTTAATGCATGTTTAATGTTATTTCATTTCTTTCTAGATATAAAATAGCCTAAGTTTACGAGCTGCTTAATTCATCAATAAAAAAATTATTTAAAACCATTTTAAAATAAATCATATTCATAAACCATATAATCATAAATAAATAAAAAATAGGAATAAGTTACGGGTAGGGGTAGGGGCAGGGTTAGGTCTATGTTTTTGGGCAGTAATGTTGATCCAGGATCAGCAAAAGATGTTGAGGAACATGTCTTGGCAAAATCACGGCGACCGTGAATGTTGCACATGGCGAAATCACGTTCACCTATGTTTTTCTTTACTACTATCGCTGTGCATGCAAATATGTCTTCGTTTGTCACAGGACTATTTGGATACGCAAAAGGCAGCAGTCAAATTCATTCAGTTTAGTTTCACCTGTTCCAACAGCAAAAGAGATAGGCCTACTATCCAGCTAACAGGGAGCATTCTCAGAACTTTGGCTTAACGTTAAGAACAGACATTCTTCCAGTAATTTTAATAGAATGTTTGTTCAAATATATGTGGTCTTTAATAATGATTATACATTTATACATTGTTCATGGAATGTTTTCTGTTAAATTATTTAGTTGGATGTTCATGTAACATTTTTTTTTTATTTAACTACTCTCTGAATGTTCAGCGAACACAATGTCCCTGTTTGCAAAATCATAGAGGAATGTTTCCAAAATGTTACATAACCAAGAAAAGAAAAAAAATTCTAAAACATTTAGAAAACTTAATGTTTTGAACGTTTTGAAACATGCAGAAATAATTTTTTTCATAACTCAACATGAACATTAGCACAACATTCTTAGAGCATATTTTTGTTAGATGGGAAGGACTGTTGAAATGTCAGTTGGAAACACTAAATGAGAACATCTATGTGAGCACCAAATGTCAGAATTCAAAGTAAGAAACGTTGCAGCGGGGCTGAACCCGCAGCATGTAGTGGACTGGAAATTTCCCTGAATGCTGCTTTAAAGGTTTGAAGTTATCCTTGATACTAGCAGGCTCGCCAAACACCTCAATAGGTTACAGACATTCATTTCATGGTGTAAATTGTATATTGTTGTGGTTTGTTTTTATTAAATAGTATTTTCCCCTCTGAAACATGACTGATTTTGCAGTGGACTCCTTTTAGAAATGATGTTAAATCCATACACACATTGCTGTCATTACTGGGACAGTTACACTCTCTGTGCTCTAGGGGGCAGCATTTAACTTCCTTTACAATCATTTCAGCTACCAGCAGAGGACTTTATTCATATGTACATGTATAGTGAATTGCTCATCTGGGAATCTCCCTAGAGCTCACGGTACATTACAACGCCTGGAATTATGGAAACGGGCATATTCTGAATTGCTACAGTGCTGCAAGACAAAACAACACCTGGTGGTGGTTTTAATTACAACTGCAATGAGTTGTTTTGTCTGAATGGCATTTCAGGTTACATTGTTGTCATTATGTGCATTCATCATTGTTTTAGATATTGATCCAAGTGTGCTACAGGTGGTAACTAAATACATCTTTTAAAAACAGAAAGTATGTTAAAAGCACATTTTAGTTCATATTCATGGTGTCCCACAATAGCACAGATGAGTACACTTAGATTTTGCAAGATTATTTTAAGAAGTACTAAATAATTTTTTTTTTGTATATTAAGTACAAAATTAGTGCGTGAAAATAGAGCACTTTATGTATGGAAGTGCACTTTTTTTTTCTCCTGGGAAGCTCTAATTCCCAAAAGTAAGTGATTTAAAACTGTTTGTCATCATACCAGAAAGGAGCCCAGGAGTGTGATCATGTAAGCACACGCTCACATACTCCATACTGTAGATACAGGAATGTAAGGAAGCTGAGGGTGTTTGCATACTGAAAAAAGACAGTTCACAGTTACACAATATATCTTACCATACTCTGAAACTGATGTGTACAGAATGTAGTATCAACATAATGCATCTCTACATCCTGAACCTGAACCGTTTTAATAAAAAAGCATACATTAAATAAACAAATACATTTGAATCTACATGAAATGTTTATTTATTTATTGGCATGTCAGTAGTTGCCTTTTTCCCATGGTCCCATGTGGTAAATAAATACCTACAACTACAGCATAACCAAGAAAAGAAAAAAAATTCTAAAACATTTAGAAAACTTAATGTTTTGAACGTTTTGAAACATGCAGAAATAATTTTTTTCATAACTCAACATGAACATTAGCACAACATTCTTAGAGCATATTTTTGTTAGATGGGAAGGACTGTTGAAATGTCAGTTGGAAACACTAAATGAGAACATCTATGTGAGCACCAAATGTCAGAATTCAAAGTAAGAAACGTTGCAGCGGGGCTGAACCCGCAGCATGTAGTGGACTGGAAATTTCCCTGAATGCTGCTTTAAAGGTTCTAGCAGGCTCATCAAAAACCTCAATGGTTGCAAACATTCATTTCATGGCAACACATGTAAATTGTATTTTTTGTGGTTCATCTTTTTTAAATTGTATTTTTCCCCTCTGAAACATGACTGATTTTGCAGTGGACTCCTTTTAGAAATGATGTTAAATCCATACACACATTGCTGTCATTACTGGGACAGTTACACTCTCTGTGCTCTAGGGGGCAGCATTTAACTTCCTTTACAATCATTTCAGCTACCAGCAGAGGACTTTATTCATATGTACATGTATAGTGAATTGCTCATCTGGGAATCTCCCTAGAGCTCACGGTACATTACAACGCCTGGAATTATGGAAACGGGCATATTCTGAATTGCTACAGTGCTGCAAGACAAAACAACACCTGGTGGTGGTTTTAATTACAACCGCAATGAGTTGTTTTGTCTGAATGGCATTGCAGGTTTCATTGTTGTCATTATGTGCATTCATCATTGTTTTAGATATTGATCCAAGTGTGCTACAGGTGGTAACTAAATACATCTTTTAAAAACAGAAAGTATGTTAAAAGCACATTTTAGTTCATATTCATGGTGTCCCACAATAGCACAGATGAGTACACTTAGATTTTGCAAGATTATTTTAAGAAGTACTAAATAATTTTTTTTTTGTATATTAAGTACAAAATTAGTGCGTGAAAATAGAGCACTTTATGTATGGAAGGGCACTTTTTTTTTCTCCAAGCTCTAATTCCCAAAAGTAAGTGATTTAAAACTGTTTGTCATCATACCAGAAAGGAGCCCAGGAGTGTGATCATGTAAGCACACGCTCACATACTCCATACTGTAGATACAGGAATGTAAGGAAGCTGAGGGTGTTTGCATACAGAAAAAAGACCGTTCACACAGTTACACAATATATCTTACCATACTCTGAAACTGATGTGTACAGAATGTAGTATCAACATAATGCATCTCTACATCCTGAACCTGAACCGTTTTAATAAAAAAGCATACATTAAATAAACAAATACATTTGAATCTACATGAAATGTTTATTTATTTATTGGCATGTCAGTAGTTGCCTTTTTCCCATAGTTGTTTACATCTTCTGTGGTAAATAAAAACCTACAGCTACAGTAACACCTACAGAGTAACAGCTATTGCCATTATGAGACATGAACGCTTGTAATGCACAGAAAATAGTTATCTAATACAGTGTAAAATTAAAAATAAATAATTATGATTATGGAAATGTGATTTAACATTTAGGTTTCAAATAAGCAGGCGGTATTTATTCTAGGGAACATAAAAGAAAATACTTTGCAGAAAAGTTGGGAGCCAAAAATCATTGAACTCCATTAACTTCCACTGTATGGAAAAAAAAGTATCTTATCTTCTTTGCTCCCCAGAAGAAAGTAAGCCATATACTGTAGGTTTGGGATGGCAGATTTAAAAACTCAGTCCAGTACATGGAAACTGCATCAGATCCAATTAATAAAACTTTATTTTTGATTAAATGAAACCAGTTACATGGAGATATACAAAACTAAAGACATTTTAACTAAAATGTAACACAAGAATGCCATAGTACTGTTGTTTAGTGTTTATAAAGCGCACAATAATGATGATGAAGTCATGTTTCAACACTTGCTGATCTTCTAGGTGGTTTTCCTAGCTGGTTGCTTTCAGTAGGTCTGCCAGGTGTATACTGTGTGTCTAATCACACTCTCCTAATTTGAGGCATCATTCATGTCTGGAGCACAAACCGTAACTGTAAAGGTATAGTTATAGTGATGCTTGCCTTAAATGGACTGAGCTGTCTGGTTCCTGAATACTGAACGCAGCGTAAAGTTCCTGGTCCTGAGGAAACTCTGCATCAAACATGTGCAAGAGTTCAGGCTCTGAGTTTAGGTTCAACCTATAGAAGAAAACAGAACCAGCCTCCCGGTCCAGGAACACACCGAGTTTTCTGGTGGACTCTGTTTGAAGTGGTTTAGTTAGTGATTCCGTTTTTTTGTCATGAGCCACACATACATTTTTTGAGCAACATAAACACCACAACATCTTATTGCGTCCCAGACGTACGGTGTCATTTGCACCTTTCCTCTTAATTCCCTTACAGGCCACACCCATGTGCACACCTGTCCCGCTCACATCCACCGTAAAGAAGCAACGTCCTGACAGCGGCTGGCAGCACAGGACCTGGTTGCACTTGTCAAATCTTTCGTCATTAGCAGGAAGCTGTTGCCTCTCTCTCTTACAAACAGCTACTGTGTTGTTCTCGCTCAGATAGAGGTATTCGTTAGCCGTCTGAGGGTCAAAGGTGAGTGTGACAGCATCTAAAAACAAAGTGAGATTTATCAGAAAAAGTCAGCTTAAATATCTACAATTAGCAGTAGCAGCATATTGAGTGTAGATGATGTAAAATACTTTAGGGAAGTCACATGCCATACTTTAAACAGCATTTTGGTAATGCTTTCATTATTTTAATGAGGGTGGGTTTTTATGAGCTCATGCAAATGAGAGAAACACAATTTTTGCACTTCAATAAATGTATGTCACACCGCAAGACCTTTTAAAATGAAATGGAAAAAGGTGTTAAAATGGTGAAGCAGTTACAGTGTCTACAAACAAACATTCATCTACATTTTAACCTGCAATCTTTATGTTGACCCATGTTTAAACTCACATTTGTACAGTCCTGGTTGGTGATTGCAGACTCCTCCAGTGTAAATTCTAGTTAGAGTTAGGGTTAGTATGGGTTAATATGTTAAGACATAAATCACACCATTGCACATTTATTGAATTTTAAACATGAATGATAGTCTCTTGTTCGACAGCCATTCTCATTTTTACCTTTACATTAGTCTCCACCTACAGTGCTTGTGTATCAAAGTCACCTAAAGGAAGTATACTTGAACACAATGTATACTTGAATGGCTGGGAAGATTCAAAGTCCTCACTACATGTTTCATGGGATCCAGTGATGTTCATTCCAGCCTTCCACTTGAACCAATACCTGATAAAAGCTACATACCTCAGTGAAGGCAGCTTATCCTTCAGTCGACGAACTTTCTTTTCCATGATGTTTCCAAGGTCATTATACTGCAGGTCCAGTTCTCTCAGACTGGCTTTCAAAGACGACAGCAACTTCAAAACTCCTTCTTGAATCTGACAGCCTGAGAGTCTGTAAGGCAAAATCAGATTTTTGTTTAGATCAACTGGCCAAGGAATGACATTTGCCTGTTTGCCTATTTCAGGGACCAAGCAGCATAGCTGGTTGATTTCTGTACATCATATATTTACCCATTTAGCAAATGACTTTGCATTCAAGCTATACATTTTAATGCATTAATGGTCACGTAACATGCAGCTAAACAAATAAAATATTTCATCTCTTTTGTTGATTTATTTTGATTGATAACAAGTGCCTTTGTTAATTATCTTTTGCAGATACAAGTCAGTTAGTACCAACAACATGAAAATACCAGTCAAGCATCAAAACACATCAAAAATCACACTATAAAATCAACATTACGTGCTTCAAACACCTTAGCATATTTTCAAACTTACCATAGATGTCCTTACAACATCTATTTAACTCACCTGTCTGGACCCTGATGTTTGCAGTTAGTTTTACTTACTTCAGAACTTCAAGATGACACTTAGCACTCCGCAGCCCAGCCGAGAGGATTTTTACTCCTTCGTCTTCTAGATGATTGTCACTGAGGTCCAGGATTTTCAGATTCACATTTGATCCTGAAAGCACGTCCTTGATGAACTCCATGTCCTGACTATGGAGGTCGTTGTGGCTGAGGTTCAGCATTTGAATCTGGCATTTGGGATCACAAAAGGCCCTAGAAAGTTGCTTCAGTGCAGACAGTCCCAGACTATTGTGGCTCAGATCAAGATGAGTCAGGTGAGAGTTTGGTGAGGTCAGTAAAGGCACCAGGATATCACAGTGTTTCTCTGTAAAGCCGCTTCCTTTGAGCCTGCAAGTATTGCATTTGAACTCTGTTATGATTTCGAATGTAAACTCTGTTGCACTCAACTTTGACTGAGAATATTTTATGATACGCTATGAAGATGTTTACAGAAGTTTTCATAATACTTACATAGCCTTTCTGAAGCGCGTGATGGCTGGAGAGAATCTCTGAAATCCTTCTAAAGTGATGTTGAATTTCCTGAGGACAAACTCATCATGGTCTGTATCTGACATCACAAACCGGAAAGCCAGAAGCGTGCACTGGAACAGTGTGAGGGGCTTTTTGGTCCGTGAGCGCTCGAGATCTGGCATCTGCAAAAAAGAACTGTCCTTGAGCTCCACGATGCAACGAACAAGACCAAAGCATCTCTCAGGGGACAGATCTTTCCTCCTCAAAGACTTAATGTACTTGGTCACTTTTTTGTGATCTTCTAAACTACTGTCTTCCAATCGAGGCAGGAGTCCTTCGAGTATACATCTGCTGGAATCACACGAAATTCCAAAGAGAAAACAGTTAAAAAGATCCAAGTGTTCATTTTTGCTTTCCACGGCCACATCAATCACGCTTTTGAGAAAATCCGACAAATTAGACTTTTGCCCCATTTTTGCTTTAGTTAATCCCAGGGAGTCTTGGTTTCCTGATAGAAATTCATGAAAAACAAACAAGGCTGCAAAGAATTCCTGGACACTGAGATGGACAAAGCTGAAAAATTTAGTTCTGTTATATCCAAATTTGCACTCAGAGACACAGGTAATGATGCCAGGATATCGAAGAGCTTCATCAGGAGTGATATAATATTTCCTCAAGTCTTCTTTACTGAAGATGGCATTCTGTTCCTTCAGCTTCCAGTAGGCCAACCCTGCCAGTTTCTTAATCAGTTCTTTGTGCTGTAAGAGAGCATCTTCTTGTGACACATTTTCCCCTTGATATTTGTTGTGGCTTAACCCAGTCTGAATGAGCAGATAGTGGATATACATTTCTGTCTGATTTGAGGGCATGTCCCTGTCTTTATTTTGACTTTTAATGAAGGTTTTCAGAACAACCGATGAAATCCAACAAAAGAGAGGTATGTGGCACAATATCCACAGGCTCTTATGAGACTTCAGGTGACAGATGACTTTTTGGGTTAGATCTGGATCCTCAAACTGCCTCGTGAAGTACTCATCCTTCTGTTCATCTATGAATCCTCTGATCTGTGTGACATATCCCTGTCTGAAGATCTCAGATGGAAGCTGTTCAGCTGCCACAGGCCGGCTGGTGATCCACAGGTGTGCGGATGGAAGCAGTTTTCCTCTTAGAAGGTTTGCTAGGAGGACATCCAGTGTGGCTTTTTTAGTAACATCTGACAAAATGCTGGTTTGAAAGCTCAGTTCATTTTTATATTCATCCAAACCATCTAAGATGAACAGAACTTTTCTATCACAGATCCAGTCAGAGATTGGTCTTGCCTCTTTGAACTCTGAGTAAAAGGCACAAAGCAGGTCAAAAAGACTCTGGTTTTCTCCCTCACGCAAGTTCAGCTCTCGGAATGGGAGCAGAAAAACAAGCTCTAGATCCTGATTGGCTTTTCCGCTTGCCCAGTCATGGACAAACTTCTGCACAGTGACTGTTTTCCCGATCCCAGCAATTCCTTTTGTTAAAACAATCTTCATGGTTCTATTTTCATCCAAGGGCGGTTTAAGAATTTCATTGTAGTTTATGACTGTCTGCCCTGATGTGCTTAAATCATTCGTCATCTCAATCTGCCAGATCTCGTGTTCTTTATTGATGGGGTCTGACTCGTCATTGATGATGAACAGTTGAGTGTAGATCTTATTAAGAGAGACTGACTGTTGTAAGCTTCCCTCCAAAATCCTCTCAGACTCCTTCATCATTCTTGATTTCATCTTATTCTTTATGCTCTGAAGAATTTCTAAATATCAGGACAAATTTAGAAAGTCATGTTATTAACAAGAGCATCCACTGATGAATGAATAGTTTTATGCAGCAAGAGTTCTGGCATGTCTTTTCTGGCTCTTACCCTTTTTGTTTATTGAGGTACAGTGAGACACCTGTGAGACCTAATAGAAGACAAATACATCAATATAACAGTATATATAATATAAACTTCAACCATATCTTAAATGAGCAACTCAGCAAAATGTACAATATTACAGTATTTTAGTGATCAGACACTCACCACATGTAGGTTCACTGTAACATCACCAGCTATTTTGGATCCTAGTATGTTTGGAGCAACTAATGTTCCACCGTTCTTCTGGTCAATTCTGAAGTCCTGAAGATACTGGTCTGAATTTTGAATTGATGGTCGTCTGAGTGATGTAGAACTATTATTATTATTATGTTGTGGAATGTTGTCATGCCGTTGAAGTGCCACGTTTCCAAATTGTGTTTGAACGCTGTTACCATCTGTTTAAAAAATAAATACATAACCAAAAGAGCACAAATGTTACAGTAAAGCTTATTGAAGATTGAGCATTTTCTAATAACAAAGTAAATTAGAAATATTTTCCTACTTTCGATACGTCTCCTTTTGAAGCACTTGTCCATTTTTAATACTTTTTTCTTTTCAGATTTATTCTCCTTCGGAGGGTCTTCCAACTTCCTGGTTGTTCCGCTTTGTTAGGATAAACAGTTCATGATCCATTTTAATGTTTTAGATTTTTTTAATGTTTACATTTGAAAGCAGAAATATACACTACACTGTAAAAAATGACCGTGAATTTAACAGTAAAAGACTGTAAAAATGCAGTCAAATGGTTAACGGTAAATTCCCTTTCTATATACAGTGAAAAACTGTATTGGACATTACATGTAATTTTAAGGTAGTATACCATTTTTGGAAGTGAAAAAGAATTTACAGAATTTTTATAATTTACAGTGAATAACCGTAAATTGACACTCCCAGAATTCCCTGCGTTACATTTTAAATTTGATGTTTTTTTTGTTGAATTAACTATGTTTTTTCTTATCAGTTTTGTATATTAGGGTTGTGTGTTACACCTAATGTTGTTAAATTAATGTTTATTGCCTTATTTCAGTTTCATGTGTGTTACCATGATGGTGTTTAGTGTTTGTGTGAATGACACTGTGCACCTTCTATATATGTTATTATTTAAAAGCTGTTTTATTTTATTATTTATTTAATTAATTAATTTAATTTGTTTTAATGGAAACTGTCATACATTTTTTTCCTGGATTCTTTAATGCAGAGAAAGTTAGAAAAGAACAGTATTTATTAAATAGAAATATTTTTTAACATGATAAAAGTCTTTACAGTCACATTTGATCAACCGAATGTGTCCTTGCTGAATAAAAGTAAGTATTAATTACCCAAAATGTATTAATCATAGTGCATCACAAAAATATTAAACAGCAAAAAATGTTTTCAGCAGCTTAATAATAAGAAATGCTAATTGAGCACCAAATCAGCATATTAGAATGTTTGGTAACATGTTCTTTGACCAAACACAACATATTGGGCCTTTCGAAAGGAAGGGCTTCTTATAGACCGGGACTAAACAGAGCGTTACAGACGAACAAAGAAAACAGGTGCTGCAACAATGTACAATATGTGAAAAATCATGTAGGGCTATCTTTTGAACATTCAACAATGAAAAACTAGAATACCCCCAAAACAAAAAGTGCATAATATGGCATCTTAGCTGAAAATTAATAAAATCTCTTTGAAAGTAAATAAACAAATAAATAAGAAAGAAAGAAAGAAGGAAGGCGGCTACTTAAACATTTTACGAGTTTCGAAAACTTAGTTTCTCCTATCGCTAATTATTAGCCTACCATCGGAAGAATGAGCTTTATGAGCTTTATGCCATTTGGATGCCATAACTACACAATCACTGTTATCTTATACGTTTTAAAAACTTTAAAAGTTTTATATTGGTCATTTAATGACATCACCAGCCTACCTGCACATTTGTACCTAACAATTATACATCACTGCTATTTTTCTTAACAGTCTGGAACCGGAAACATACCGGTATGTAGGTTACAGTAATACCTGTACTGGCGTTTGATCGGTTTCTTCTGTAATACAGTGCTCTTCTTCTCAGTCATATCTTTCATGTTGATTGTGTTCACCCGCTCCATCACGGAACATTCGTTTGTGTGTATATTTCTGTGGCTTTAACGGTAGGCCTACCTAAACTGTGAAAACGAAAGCGCGTTAACAGCGGCGCGCGACTGTCACACGTCGAGCGGGAGGTCGAAAAGTATAGCGAGTCGAAGCCTTTTCTAAAGGCTTAGCTCAGCAGGAGAGTGTTGTGCCGGATTCCGACTCCCCTCGCGTGCACGCGCATGACGTCATACGATGCATGACGACAGTTGCGAAAACAGACAGGCGTAAGTAATACATTGCAATTTGTGTATTGGACAGTTTGATCGTGTATTTAATTGTGTATTTGTCTTTGATCATGTATTTAACTAAACTTGTATGATTTACAACTTGGACTGTCTAGCTGTGCTTTTTATCGTTTGTGTGTTTTTACTGTAGTGCAATAAAAAAAAAAAACTGCTCATTTTCTCTATTGCAATATTCCTTATCATGAAACAGAATGTGTTTGTTAGGGAGCAGAACAATTTCAAATGTTTTGTTAAATCTGTCTAAATTACTCTGCCCTTATGCTGATAACACTGAAAAGCTGTGAAGACCTTGTGCTTATGCATCGAGCATATCAATAGAATGCCATATGAATTCTGCAGTGCTGCCAAAATCATACCCCCCTATATTAAATGCTTATTATTGAATCTAAACACTTGTGCTTTTTTGCAGGTATTCTACAGGACCAGATGTGTCACCAGAATGAGTTTTATGGTTCTCTGACCCAGCAAACTGGATAAGGCGTAAGTACTAAATTAAAATTTGTGTATTGGACAGTTTGATCGTGTATTTAATTGTGTATTTGTCTTTGATCATGTATTTAACTAAACTTGTATGATTTACAACTTGGACTGTCTAGCTGTGCTTTTTATCGTTTGTGTGTTTTTACTGTAGTGCAATAAAAAAAAAAAACTGCTCATTTTCTCTATTGCAATATTCCTTATCATGAAACAGAATGTGTTTGTTAGGGAGCAGAACAATTTCAGGAGTTTTGTTAAATCTGTCTATACTCTGCCCTTATGCTGATAACACTGAACAGCTGTGAAGACCTTGTGCTTATACATCGAGCATATCAATAGAATGCCATATGAATTCAGCAGTGCTGCCAAAATCATACCCCCCTATATTAAATGGTTCCTGTTGAATCTACACACTTGTGCTTTTTTGCAGGTATTCTACAGGACCAGATGTGTCTCCAGAATGAGTTTATTTATGAATTTGGCAGTTGTCAAATATGATGTATTTCATGTAAATTATATTCTGTTATGCTGTATGAAGAATTCATGTGCATACAACCATGTACATACTATCCGTGTGTTTTATTGTACTGTGTAATTGGTTCAGTGTACTGCTGTTGTTGTTTCTGTGTACTATAAAAAAGCTCCTTCTGTTACAACAAATTATTTTTCTGTGCAAACATATTTGGCAATAAAGGTCTTTCTGCTACCTCTGACTATAGACTATAGTGTCCTGATGACCCTGTGCCTTTAGCTAAATTGATATAATTTTTAACTATTTAGAACTGATTTCAGGCAAACACTGTTTTCATTTGCCACTAACACTGATACTGTCCATCACAGACCCATATACACAACCCCAATTCATGTCATGTTACTCATCTGTTGGCACATATCCTAATCAGTTTACTTTTAGTACCACTTTTTCATCATATTTTTATAATGATTTCACAGTTCTATTGTGAATAACATGAGACGGGAAAATCATTAAGTGTTTTTATTTACAGTTTACATAGTGTTACAATCACATAGAAATTACAATAAGCAAACATAATGATTTAAAATAAAACTGTAAAAGAAATAAAACTTAACACTTACATAAATAAAAAAAAAATGATCGCAGTATATCGTGAGAGTGTGCACATCAAGGTTCACAAACGGGGCAGATGTAACTTCTGTGTTTCCTTGAGCGTTTGACACAGTTGCAGTCAAACCAACGTGGGCACACATCACAGCCAATCTAAACATGTTGACAAACAAATGTTGAAGTTAAGCATAGGTATTTCTGTAATTCATTTCAAACAATACTTAAATGAACATTATGTCACCTTCAATTAATATGGTAATTTCAATAAAGGTTTGATAAAACACAACATTCTTTTTGGAATGCTTACCCAGTTAGTCACTTTTTGACCACTGTTTCTTTCACCACACAGATGGCACAGGTCCTTAAGGTCAGCTAGATCAAATATCATGCCAAGGCAGAATAATAAAGTTATCATAAGGCAAGTTCTTAAAACATCACAAGTATTTACAAGCAAATAAATTACATTTTTACAAACACTGATAAATAGTTAGGGTACAAAAGAATGAATGAATATTTGACATATTTTAATGTAATTTGAAACAAGCACTAGTATCCAAAACTTACCAGTGCTCTGCAGGAGACAAGCAGCTATAGTCATTCTTAGGGCAGCCACACTTTTTTCAGATGTGGAAAACTGAAGCGGCTCATCATTTAAGAAACATTCTGCAAACTAAAAAAGAAAAGCGATTATGTAATTGAGAATTATATGGTTGCAATGTAAACAATGTGTTATTACAATAAGTTACAACAATGGGTTGCTATATAATAAAAAATAGTTATGTTGCAATAAAGGTTGCATTTGTAGTGGACAGCAGGCTGAATGGCATTCCTTCAAATTACCCGTTCAGCTAACTGAAATTTTTCATTATCCAACACTTTTGTCAACAGCTGTTGGAACACCACAAAAAATTGTAACAGGGATTGCCAAGAGGTTGTCAAATTTGTTCAAATGCATAGTTCACCGCAAAATGACAATTTTCTCTTTATTTATCTATTTCTATTTCTATTTTCTCTTGATGATGTTTTATCCTTCTTTAATAAAATACAAGTGAGGGAATTCTAAACAATTCAGCTCATGAAAAATGGGGGCAAAAAGAAAAGTACTGCGTTTATAATTTTGTTCAGTGTAAATAAACATAAATCTTGCTTTTATTGCCACTCAGTGGACAAAAACAACAAGTCCTTTATTCAATGATGGACTTTAATAGTTTCTGTGTTGTTCTCTCCACTGTGAATTTATTAGTCCATTATATGGCTCATCACAGGTGATGAGAGTTGAGAAAAAAAAAGATGTTGCAGTGGATACTTTTCACAAAAGATCTAACATCAATATTCATCACAGCACACACTGCTGTCAATCTGGGACAGTTACTAATGCTCTGTGTGCTGTAGGGGGCGGCATTTAACTTCCTTTACATTAGTTCAGGGGTGTCCAAACCCTTTTCCTTGACAGCCACTGTCCTGCAGAGTTTAGCAACCCTAATTAAACACACCTAAACCAGCAAATCAAGCTTTTCAGATTTACTACAAACTTTCAGGCAGCTGTGTTGGAGGTGGTTGAAGCTAACCGGAATTAGTTCAAATATCAAAAGGAAAGAGAAGAGCACTTCATTCATACGTAAAATGAAGTGCTAACCTATGCTGTGTACACAGTGATAAAAATGATCTATTATTATTGAAATATATGTATTAGTATTGAGTTTTATTGTGAATCTCACAAATGATGGAGCTCACATCATATTTCAACACCTTCTAGAATTACGAAAACTACCTTCTCACTGCACATTCTTTAAAGTTTCTCAGGCAATGACATATGACACCCACTCCTAAAGTGTTACAAAATATATAAAAACATACAAAATAATACTGTGAAATGTGGAGTGAAATGAAAATGTACATATTTACAAAAACTTCCTCACTAATCTGAAAATAATCTTTAACTTTAGCTGCTCCTAAATGAAATGTAATGAAACACATATAAGGGGAAAACACCAGTGTTATCAAAGTGACATCGGTGGTGCTTCTCATTTCTTATTTGTGCATCCTCGTTTCCTTTCCTCGCATCTTAGCTCTAACCCCCTTAGGATACGAGGGAAGGATGCATGGAAAGGAAATGAGGACGGAGGAATCATGAACATTGGGATATTCTTGTCCACTCAAGTGTCACTTAAAGCGTCATCATCTGCCCTTATGTTGTTGAAGTTCGTTATTTAAGGCATTCATAATGAATATTAATAAAGCAAGATGCCCTGTTGAAATATATGACATGTATGGCTTATTTAAACTACAAAAGTAAAATATAAATGTAAATTATTACGACAGATGTGAAGGGGGAGGAGAATTTATATGTGAATCATTTTTTTCGCCAAAAAAGACTTCCGCATAGGATACACCTGTGTATCCTCGCTCATGACTCCTCAGGAAGCCTCCTCGATCCTCGATCCCCGTGGTGCACTTAGAGAATTGAGATGTCCTACAAGATGGCTGAGCTCGATCGGTCTTTCATGTCTTAACAGTTGAATATTCTGTTTGATCTGCTGCAATGACATCCTGCAAGGAAACATCACAATCAAAAATAAAATCGAGTAGGTTCAAACACACTGAATTATAAAAGTGAAGGACAGAAAAATTTTAAACAACAGCTCTATTTCCCACAGTTGAGCAGAATGAGTGAAGAAAACCTTTCAGCGTCATTACATCCGAGAGAAACAGAGCAGTGTGATAGCATATTCTCAGACACATACACAACAGACTTCAGGTATTTAAAGGGGTCATATGATGCTTTTTTAAAGATCATTATTTTGTGTATTTGGTGTAACAGAATATGTTGACATGCTTTAATGTTCAAAAAACACATTATTTTTCAAATACTGTACATTATTGTAGGTCCTCTATGCCCCTCCTCTCTCCTATACTGATCAAATGGGTGTTATTCAAAACCTAGAATGACGCAGACCATCTAGAATAATGACGGTGAAGCTGAAGAGAAACACTAAAGAGAAGCATTCCTTAGTAAATGTCTCTAAACACTACTCTCATTTCAAGCTAATCTTTTACCTGTACCTGTATTTAAAGTATGTATTCCAGTTCTCTGAAGCGTTCTCATTACATTTGTTCTCAGTGAAGCACACAAAGGGTGGTAAGGGAGTTTCACAAGAGCTTGAGCAAAGCACTTGCTGTGGGCACAAATACACCTTATACACACTAACATTCAAGTGCACTCTTGTGTGTCCAATAATAGGTACGCCAAAACACCTGCTGCTGCATTCAACAACAACAACAAAAACGCTTGATACCCCACACTGACCTAAATAGTTCTGACCACAGGTATCATTTTGAATCTAACACCGAGCTGCACGTAAAGGCACAAAGCATCTCATGTTCATTCTGCATTTCAAAAATGGCCCTTGTGCACAACTTCTTCAGTGTAAAACAATTTTGTGACAAACATGACAACTTTAATGCCATTTCCAATGGCTATACAGTTAATACTGTAGTGGCAATGCTACAGTAACTGCATATGTTTGGTTTACAAAACTTTGTGGTTTTAAAGCTCTTTGCACACTGATACAGTTTTAAAGGCACAGAATGTAAAATCATAAAGATGCCCTTGCATCTTTCTCTCACGCAAAAATTATATAGAGTAAATTATGCAGAATCAGATTTTGATCTCTAGGCAGTCTATAGTCTATACTAAAAAACTGCTCTGGAAAGGCATGGTCTGCTATTGTGGTCAGGTTTTTATATGTGCATCTTGTGATTGTATGATGCAAGTCCTGCTGAACCACAATTTCTCAAATAAAATAATTCAGTGCATTTTGCTTTGGTTTAACTCACTGTATGTTAGTTTTGGCCACGTAATTCACATATATTTTAAATCAGCTGGGGGAACAAAAAGTGTTTCTTTTGCTGAAATAGCATTATAAAGCTTGTATTTCAGGTTGGTCCAGGCAATGTGCGTGTGTGCTTTTCTAAGCACACATCTCAGGGCACTTTTTGTTTTTATGCAAACCAGAGCTTCTAAAAGCAGCTGCTGTGACGTGATGGCTTTATCAATTGGCAGTTGGCTTTTATTTAGGGACTTTCTCCCATTCATAGTACAATAGCTGTGTCCCAATTCAGAGGCTGCATCCTTCAAAGGCCGCAAAGGTCGAACCACATGTTGTTGAATCCCTTTTCATGATAATTACATAGGTCAAAAAGTTTCTTGCTATTTACTTTTTTAGTTTTGAAGCATGATGCTTTTCCCCAAGCTCCAGATCTTGATGACAAGCTACATTCAACACGATACAATTTTAACTGTTTTGATCCTATACTGATCAAATGGGTGTTATTCAAAACCTAGAATGACGCAGACCATCTAGAATAATGACGGTGAAGCTGAAGAGAAACACTAAAGAGAAGCATTCCTTAGTAAATGTCTCTAAACACTACTCTCATTTCAAGCTGATCTTTTACCTGTACCTGTATTTAAAGTATGTATTCCAGTTCTCTGAAGCGTTCTCATTACATTTGTTCTCAGTGAAGCACACAAAGGGTGGTAAGGGAGTTTCACAAGAGCTTGAGCAAAGCACTTGCTGTGGGCACAAATACACCTTATACACACTAACATTCAAGTGCACTCTTGTGTGTCCAATAATAGGTACGCCAAAACACCTGCTGCTGCATTCAACAACAACAACAAAAACGCTTGATACCCCACACTGACCTAAATAGTTCTGACCACAGGTATCATTTTGAATCTAACACCGAGCTGCTAGTAAAGGCGCAAAGCATCTCATGTTCATTCTGCATTTCAAAAAGGGCCCTTGTGCACAACTTCTTCAGTGCAAAACAATTTTGTGACAAACATGACAACTTTAATGCCATTTCCAATGGCTATACAGTTAATACTGTAGTGGCAATGCTACAGTAACTGCATATGTTTGGTTTACAAAACTTTGTGGTTTTAAAGCTCTTTGCACACTGATACAGTTTTAAAGGCACAGAATGTAAAATCATAAAGATGCCCTTGCATCTTTCTCTCACGCAAAAATTATATAGAGTAAATTATGCAGAATCAGATTTTGATCTCTAGGCAGTCTATAGTCTATACTAAAAAACTGCTCTGGAAAGGCATGGTCTGCTATTGTGGTCAGGTTTTTATATGTGCATCTTGTGATTGTATGATGCAAGTCCTGCTGAACCACAATTTCTCAAATAAAATAATTCAGTGCATTTTGCTTTGGTTTAACTCACTGTATGTTAGTTTTGGCCACGTAATTCACATATATTTGAAATCAGCTGGGGGGAAAAAGTGTTTCTTTTGCTAAAATAGCATTAAAAAGCTTGTATTTCAGGTTGGTCCAGGCAATGTGCGTGTGTGCTTTTCTAAGCACACATCTCAGGGCACTTTTTGTTTTTATGCAAACCAGAGCTTCTAAAAGCAGCTGCTGTGACGTGATGGCTTTATCAATTGGCAGTTGGCTTTTATTTAGGGACTTTCTCCCATTCATAGTACAATAGCTGTGTCCCAATTCAGAGGCTGCATCCTTCAAAGGCCGCAAAGGTTGAACCACATGTTGTTGAATCCCTTTTCATGATAATTACATTAAAAAAAACTAAAACAAAAAGTTGTATGTAGCTTTACACATTAAGTAGCTTTACACTTATCAAATAAATCATTCAGAGAATGAATTAGCTCTTATTTTAATAGTTGCATATCTAGTCTGTCCTGCAAACAGTTGTAATTTC